CATTGAATTTTCTTATTGAGTTCACTTTCTATCTTCTTTTTGATCTCCTTGAACTTTAGAAAAGTCTTTGAGTTTTCCTTCATAAAGTAAACCCACACATAGCTTGAAAAGTCATCGATGAATGTCATTATGTACTTCATTCATTCTATTGATGATTGTTTCACTAAGCCAAAGACATATGAGTGTATGAGTTCTAGTGGTGTCTTGGACTAATGCTCTAACTCCTTGAATAACAATTGGTGAGCTTTGCCAAATTGACATCCAGCACATATTATATCCATTTGGATATATAATTGAGGAAGCTTTTTTACTATGTGTTTATTCATCATCTCCTTTAACTTGTTGTAGCTCACATGCCTAAGATGTTCATGCCAAAGATCACTCGTTTCATTTTTGCGAGTCTTGTCCACGTAGGATATATTTGCAGACAACACATAGACCGACTCTATTCTTCTTCCCTTCATAATTAGATTTCTAACCACCTTTATTCTCTTAAATACGATCATATTTTTAGGCCCAAAGAGCACATAATTCTCTTTTGCTGTCAGTTGTGGCACCGACAATAAATTATTCTTTAAATCAATGATAATATACACTTTCTCAAGTTGGAGATGCTGAGAGCCTTCTTTTGGAAATGTTGTTTTTCCAATATGAGAAATAGACAACCTTGAATTATTGGTCGTCAACACTACTCTTCTTCTTTTGTATTCATCCATGTCTTACAGCTTCTTCTCGTCATTGGTTATATGATTGGAACACCCAGAATCGACGATCCAATCATCTTTGTAGTTTATTTTTGACTTCATGGTTGTTACGAGAGTGTGTTCCTCTATGTTTTCCTTTATCTCTTATTTGTCAACTATAATAAAAAAATCCAGCTTATGCATCTCATTCTTACTCACTAATGGATGCTTCCAATGTGACCACTTTCTTCTCCTCCTTTGTGGTAGCCATGTTTCCTTGGAAAGTTCGCCTCTTGGAGAATCTAAAATCCTGAAAAAAAAAATGGCCCTTCTTGCCACAGTTGATGCATTCATCGTTTCTTCTTTTATCATTCCCTTCATGTTACTAGAGGTAGTCTTATCTTCCTTGTCTAGCTCCCCTTGAATAGTTACTTCTTTCTTTTGAATGTCACTTGCCTCATCGTGTCCACATTTCTTTCGCCATTTCTTGTTTTCAAGGCGTGGATTTCTTCTTGTTGGTAGAGAGTACCTATTATTCATCTTTTATGGTTACTCTATTCATTTGTTTAGCCAATGCCTATTGATTAGCTAGTAGGTTCTCCAACTCTACCAACGATGGTTGAGTAGGTCATCCCCTCATAGCGTTTATAAATCCGTCATACTAAGGCGTTAGACCATGGATGACAATTCTCTTCATCATTGCTTCACTTACCTTCTCTTCAGGGGCAAGTTGAGATATCTCGCGGTAAATAGATTTCACCTTGGTGAAATATTGAGAAATAGTTAGGTTACCTTGTGAGATACATGCAAGCTCATTTTTCAAGAGTTTGAGGCATGCTTCATTCTTTTTCGAAAATAATTTTTCTAAAGTCTCTCAGGCTGTCTTTGATGTCTTCTCGTCATAGACATGCTCCAATAGGTCCTCCTCAATTGTAATCTTCAAAATAAATAAAGTATTTTCGACCTTGATGTTTCATTTTCTCAAGGCTTTAGCATTTTTCTTTGGCGGAGGAGTTATATCGCTACCAACAACTATTTCCCAAAAATTTTGACCTTGTAAGTAGGATTCTATGCAAGTCTGCCAATAACCATAGTTGTAGTTATTGAGCTTCTTGATTCCATTGCTCGTGCTAACAAGATTTTTCATCATGAAAGACGTCAGACGTCTAGTAGGCTTGGTCCCAGACCAATGAGCTTTATAGTTTCTAATTGTGCTCTGGCAGAATCTCCTCTTAGTGCCTTGTTGTTAACATGTCCATGTAAGCATCCATCACTTATCGAAGCTTTCCTCTACTAGAAATGGTCTCGAACAACCTAGCTCTGATACCAATTATTGGAAACTTCGATGAGCCCAACACACCCATTATAGAGGACCTATGATATAGCACCCACACTACACCAACACGTTTTAACGTTGGTTAGCCTTTATCTTATGAATTCTTAGTGCACAGTAATTCTTAGGCGGCAAGGTCAACCATATATTATTCAGGCAACAGAGTCGACCATATATCAATCAGGCGGTAAAACCGACCATATGTCAATCAGACGGCAGAGCAGACCATATAACAAAACTAAAACAAGTGAACTAAGAACTTAAAAACAACTAAGGCTTAATTGGGAAACCTGAAGAGAATAGAACATTTTTATTGATACAAAATACAATTACAACATTACTCACTTACCCCACTACTTTACTCTTCTCTACCTCAAGCTCTCTTTCTCTAGCTCACACTTTTGGCACCCTTTTCCCACTTTTTCACTCTTATAACATTGGTTAAAACTCACCCTTATTTATAGTTTCTAGTGGCCATTAGATTGTTGACACATGCCAACAACTTAGCCATTTAACATTAAAAAAATATCTAGATTCTTCTAATAGATAATTCTAGTTATAATATTAAATATTACAAATATATAGATTTTTCATGGATATTTCTACACTTCTACCATTTCCATATTATTCTAGAATATTTCTAATATATATACACACTAAATGACACATATTTCTTTAGGATTTGCATTGTCTTCTAACTAACTAACTAACTATATATATATATATATATATATATATATATATATATATATATATATATATATATATATATATATATATATATATATAGGGTTAAAGTCTAATTATATAGTGTAAAATTAAAAAGTTTTACGCTTTTTTAAGATGTTAGATGAGAAGAAATAAATAATGAGATTAACATTAATAAATGAGAATATATTTACTCAAAAAAAATAAGGAGTTAATCTCAATTTTTTATTTTTCTTTGTCCAACAATCATAAGAAATGTAAAACTAAAAGTTTTACTGTGTAAGTGAATATATATATATGGGTAAGATTACATAATGTAAAAGTTTTTAATTTTACATATATTTATGACAATTGGATGAGTGAAAATATATGACTGAGACCATTTACTAATGTTCATCTCAGCCATCTATTTTCACACATCCAACGATACTAAATCTATATAAAACTAAATGATTTTTACATTTTGTAAGTAGATCCTTTATATATATAAAGGAGATTAGGGTAAAAATATAATATCAACAAAGTTTTGACAGAATATCAGAAAGTATATATTCTGAATCAGATTCTACACATTTTTTAACTAATAAACTAAAGTTATTAGAAAGTTATATAATCTGAATTTCACTAGTTTCCTCCTAAATATTTTTAACAAATATAAAACTTAACATGAAACTAGATAATATTAGTGTTATTTTTCTTGTTTCATTTTATGTTATTTAAAATTCGTGTGAGTTCATTATTGCCTGATGTAGTTTAATATATAAAATTAAGTTATTATTTTTATAATTAAATACATGTATAGTGTAAAAAAACCTTATAAAATAATTAATTTTTAACGTTATGCATGTAAATATGTATTAAAGAACACATAACTGACCAGTAAATGGACATATTCATTTAAAAAAGAGAGGAATATTTGGTTTAGTTTCATGAGATGAGAGAGCATTCGAGGATAAAAACAATGATAGTTTATCTTAATGATTAGGTAAAAATGTAACTTTTGTTAATGTATTAGACCTAATTTATTATTTTCGCTCATATCGTATTTTCGCGTCAAGTTAACTCTTGAAGTTGTTCAATTCCTAACTTAAAACCTTAAATTATAAACTCTAAGTTAGAGTTTAGGGTTTAGGATTTTAAATTAAGAATAGAGTATAGAATGATGCAATTGAGCAATTTCAATGACTAAATTAATGCAAAAATAGATAAGAGTAGAAGTGATAAATTGAGTCGGAAACAAAATACCCTAAAAGTTAAAAACATTTAAACACAAATAATTAAGAAATGTTGGACAAGGGATGATAATTACTAAAGTGCTGCATTGACCCATCATGAGTTGGACTTGGCTTTAATGAAATATTGTATAAGTGTATGGCATCAAATGCAATTGAAGAACAGAAAGCAGATTACAGAATTATCACTGCAATAGAAATTGCTTCTTTTCTGAGTTATTGATAGATCATTTGGTAGTATCTTCTTTAATAGTTTAGCATTTAATAACCTAATAAATACATTTTATTTATTTTATTTTATTTTAAAAAAAATTGATATAATTATGTATTTTATTTATTTAATATGAATAAAATGGACTGAATATAGGAGCAAGTTGAAGCAGACAGAGATTTAGTGCGAGTACCTTAAGAGATGGCTCGGATCATTAACGGAACAAAACTGGCGGCTTCAATGCGAAGTGGAGGAGCTTAGGGCCATGAAAGTAGGACCTCCGACGGTGATTTCGCCTCACAGCCGCGAACCACTCCCCGCATCCACCCTTACGACGAACCCTCGATGCGAGCGTGTCACCACCATTGCCCATGGCAGTGACCCCATTAAAATGACAGCCTCCACCACCACTGCCACTAAAACTGGAACGTCATCGGTCCTCCAATGACTCGTCTTCCACGGCTTGTTAAGTAGACGACATGCTTTAACATAAGATACGAGGTGGTTTAAAAGAAGATTATTTAGGGGAGAATGTCCAAATCAGTTTAGACACAGTGCAAGGGATCGACGTTATTTAAGTCACAATTTTGTTTGATTTGGCTTTCTTGAAAATATATGTTTTTTCGGCTTAAATATTAATTTAATATTTAAAGATAGACAATTAGACATATTTAAGTTAGTATTTAAATATTTTTTTTTAAATTAGTAACCAATTTTTGGTTACATAAATTATTTTAATATTTTTATTAATGTGATCAATTTTGAATGATATGATATAATGATAATATAAGATTGTATTATAGTTTATTTTTATTAATTTGCAAAGACTTCTCTGGTCACACAAATTTAAGTAAGAATCCCCAGAAGTTTAAATCCCAAACAACGTTAATTCGAGATTTCCAACATTATTGAACACAAATAAGAAATTTGCCGAAATGTTCAAGAGAGTGCAGGCTAGAAAGTGATACATCAATATGGTCATGTGTTTTTCTTTTAATAGGCACTTCTCTCGCTGCAGAGCTTCTGGATAAGATATGCAGCGTCTTGAAATGTTGTGATGGTTTCTGCATTCTCCTCTTCCACGGTGATCCCGAATTCTTTTGCAAGTCCCATCACGATTTCGGCCTGAAACTTAATCCGATCAATTATAATGCAAGCTTCATTCTTGCGGGACAAGGAACAACTTTTATATGCATAAACAACATCAAATGGCCATTGAGAGTTGAGAGAGTACCCCAAGATCAACAAATTTCGATTCTCCGGTGACTGGTTTGTTATTCTCGATAGCCAGTTGTTTCCTTACAACTTCACATACCTTATCCAGAGTCTCCCTTTTGTCCTGCACAACAACATCATCAGTATGTAATTCACCAAAACTGTACATATATATGTGTGTGTGTGATGCAGAAGATGTGCTTTAAGACATTAATACCTGTACAGGATCCGATATATCGGACGGAAGATGCTTGATTTCATCGTCCAAGCCGTAAAAACTGAAAGGCAGTACGTAAAATCATATGAACAATGATGCTGTATATTAAATGAGTGGTAGATGAAGATGTCTTGTACATACCTGCCGATTTGGTTATTGATCCAATTAAGCAAGCGTTCTGCTGTTCGTCTGTCGTCGATTACACGTATTTCACTTGCTAATTCATTGGGTTTCCAGCCAGAGGAAAGCTCTGTAGCAGGACCCCAGAACAGCACAGGATAGTGACTAACAGAAAACTTATCACAAAGATCTCTGTTTATCTGTGTTGTCAGCCAGTTCAGATCCAAAATTAATCCTAAATCTCCGCATTATATGCAAGTGAGACGTATATATATATACACACACTTTGCAGGAACACCCAGAAGACAAAATAAATACCTTTAACGCACAGTCAACTCTCGTCATAAATATGATACCGGGATGCACAGCATCAGGTCCATTGAAGAGCCTAGCAACTTTCTCAAAATGGGGCTGCAAAAATCATAAGAAAAGCCAAGAAATGGCAAGAAGGCGATGTGCAAAACAGACCACAATATATACATACCTTGTAATTTCTGCAAGCAGGGCACCTGAAAAGTAATAATCACGCAGACGGAAGAGAGGAATGTTAACAAACAGGTGTGATGCATGCAAACTGAAGTACTAGCCCTACATGTTTAAGCTTAATCTAGCAATCAACAAGAAGGATAGTTTAGTGAATGAGGATTTACATATTTTAAGGTTAGGAGTTTGAAACTTCGATATGAATGATCGCACTCATAATAGGTTTTTAGAATATCGAATCAAGTTAATCAATTAATAGATCAGATACCGGTGACTAGGGGGAAAACTTAAACTAGGCAACATGTTTGTAAGTTCACTGGATGCAGGCACATGCACCCATGTATACAAAGCTATCCTGATTCATGTCAAGATTCGATCCAATTTTCAATTTGGCTACGGTACATTACTTACTTCTAATCATGTTGGTCAGCGCGATTAACTAAATAATAAAACTATCGAAATTGAGAGAATAAATTGTTTGTTCTTTAAAACGAGTACTAACCAGTGAGCGTAGAATTCGACTATAGCATGAGCGGCGGGAGTGGCGTTGAGAGCTCCATCGAAATCCGTGGCGGTCAGTTCAACGCCGTAGACCTTCTGATCACCGCTTCTGTTGTTATTGTCAATCTCTCGGAGCAGCGTCCGCGATTCTGCTTTCAACGACGGCGCTATTATGATCGAAAGGATCAAAATCAGAATCCAAGATGCACGAGACATCGGAGACAAGGAGGCAACAATAATCTGATTATTAGTTTCTCTTCAATGGATTCGTCGGAATTGAAATGAAAGCTTTTCCAACACATTGAAATGATCAAATATATTTTAAAAGCTTGTCACTTTCCCAGTTGCGTATGAAACGGCAAAAACAATGCTATCGTAAATTACTATACGAAGACTGCAAAACACAATGCTATCTTAAAATACTATATTAGGTAAATTACACTGTTAGTCTTCCAATTTTTAAGTTGTTTTAATTGTGATTACACAACTATAATTTCATTAATTTTATAAATTGGATGAAATGGTAAGGCATTTTCCTGAAAATGGTGAGAATGAAGTGTTATAGAAATTGGTTCTTATAGGGTGAAATATTTTGATTTTTCTTAATAGTCTAATTGATTAAAAACAAAAAGATTGATTGATTATTCGATGAGGATGAAAAACCACTAACTTATCAAGATTTGCTCTAGAGGTATCTTCTTTAGTTTATCCTCAGAAAGAGATCTTTTATTTTTTTGTCAAAAGAAAGAAATGTTTATTTATTTTTTACATAGTATCGCACGTGACATAATATCAAAAACGAATCATTTTTCTTTGATATGTCTCACGTAGGTTATTATGATCTAATCCTTCCGGTATATTAGTTGTTTTGTAGGAAAATTGATATTCTTGAATGATCCCGCCTAAAAAAGGAGGTACAATACTTATATTCTTTTAGTATTTGTTACGTTATGCAATAACTTGATTATTATAACATGCGATTTAATTAGCTTTAGAGAAAGACTTATAATAATAATGAGATGATAATATGAGGTAAGATTCCATAAGACTTATACCATTGTGTGCAGCTCGGAAAACGGTGAGGACATTCGAGTTACTTTAGCAGTAGGATGGTCATCTTGTGTGCATAGAATATCTGGATATATCCAAGTTAGTGAAAGATGCACTTTAGTCGCTAGTTGAACGTGGTACTGATGCTATGTGACCTAAACATGTTCCGAGTACTCAAAAGGAGTAGACTAGCCAGGCAAGGTGTCGATGTTGTGTGACCCGAACTAGGCTAAGGTATTGGGAGGTGTCGATGCTATGTGACTCGGACCTCGCCTGAGATACTTGGGAGATGCTGATGTTGTGTGACGTAGGTCTACCCAAGGTACCTCTATTAAGAAAACATAGGTGTGAGTTCCGTGATGCTATGTGACCCCGAGCTACACCATGATACTTATTTATTGTTGAGTGATAGCACCGACGTCTCTGTGATATCGGGTACCGTCATTGTGTTTGGCACGGTGATGCATTATAGGATGATAATGAGATTAGAGACTTAGTACTTGTATACTCATGGCGGGGCCCTTAGCGAAGACTAAGGGAAGCATGAGACGTAGATTCAAGGGATAGAACTGGAGGACTTTACGTGGGTAGCACTAATTGGAATCATGCTTGTACCTATTGCTTAGTACTATGTCTCTAGCATGCTTTAGTTTATGAAATTCATATGTTGCTCTATATTACCGATTATATTGTTGAGTTTTGAAAGCTCAGCCTTCAGATGTTTTCCGTTGGTAGGTCCGTAGCTTGAGCAGTTCGTGGAACACCGTTGCCGCAGGACTTCTAATATCTCTAATAAAGTACTATACTGAAGCTTTAATGGGTATGTGTATTCATAGAACCTTACTTATGTATTTGAGTTGTAAACTTCAAGATGTATTATTTTGATTTAAATCATGCGTCTCGGAGCTCCGATTTTATAAAATGTTTTTATAACAGTTGTTTATGTTTTATTATGATATCATGTAATACATTTCAAAAGAAAATGAATAGGTTTTGAGGATCATAGGTTGCCTTGATAGCCTAGTGTGTTACTTTAGGCCCAATCGGGTTTAGGGTGTTATATTTAGTGGTATCAAAGCGTCAGGTTGAGTCGATCCTAGGACACAATGGTCGTTTTTAGTAAGGTGTCAGTGAATACATGTCGCTAGGTTCTCAATGTACTTGTATAAGTTTGGAATCCTGATGATGTCTCCCTTTCCAAGTCTTTGTTATAGAAACTTGTAATGGTTGATAGTTTCGAGCGTGGTCTCGAGGATATGATGTAGAGTTGAACCTCTCATCTCGATAATGTTAACAAGGAGTTCTTGCCTAGAGCAGAGGACCATGTGGTCTCATTAAGCACAAGAGTCGTAGAGGCGACATTCTTCAGAGGTTTGACCTTCACTCTCAGGGAGATAGTCCTGGAGCGCAAATTGTGTACCCAACCACCAAGGGTATATCAGTGCCGATAGAATTTTCAATAGAGAGACTGAGGAGTTATAACACATTCGACTTCTACGGTTCAAGTGTTGATGAATCAATTTCAATCGATCAGTAGTTGAGGGAGACCATGATTACTATAAGGCAACTGCACCTTATGCCAGGGGGTAAGTTAGAGTGCATCACCGCTTTGCTTAAGGGTGGTGCTATCGACGTGTAAGAGACTGTAGAGACAGCTCTACATCCTAGGGTGCCTACATGGGATCAAATCATAGAGAAATTTAGAGGCAAGTAAGTTGGTGAGGTGCACATAGACAATTTGAGGATACAATTCTCTCAGTTGGTTCAGGGAGACCATTTAATGTTCGAGTACGAGAGAGATTTCCTTAGATTGAGTCGTTACACTCCAAAGCTTGTTACGACCGAGTCCTTGAGATGCAAGAGGTTCCATGAGTAGTAGGTGGCAGACCCGCTTAGAGTTTTTTTCAGAGTCGTCATGGCAAGTTAAGGTCGTGGAGAGGGTGCAGGCTATGAGGATGAGTTGGTTGGGCGAATCAGGTAGCTCAAGTATGAGAACTTATGTGCCAGTAGACAGATCTTAGTCAGTGACCGACCCGAGGTCCATGAGAGCAGATGAGAGTGACGTCAGCTTTGTCACTCTAATCGAATCAGAGTACAAGTGTAGGGTCTCATAGGTGACCACCAGTTTCCTCGTCTGTAGCGAACTCTAGAGGTTGTGATAGAGTTTTGAGGTATCCAGAGTGTGAGCATTATGGTGAAAATCATCGAGAGAGGTGCTTCAAGCTTTTTAGGAAGTGCTATGGACGTGGATCCTTGGAACATATGGTGAAGGATTGTCCTAGTTTGATTGGCGTTGGTTCTATGCTTGAACAGGAGAATAGAGCAGTGATTTAACCTGTTTTTGGTTTGACGAGGTTTGATCATTCTCATCAGATAGCAGAGGAACAGGGTCATGATATCGATGACGCATATGAGATGTCGAGTATTTTTTAGATGTCTTAGCTTTTCGTGTTGCTTCAGTAAGCATATGTGCACACATTCTTTTATGGTGACCAGTGAGCTAAGTAAGAAAAGTATTCTTGTGGAGGATCTTAGAATGAGGACCCAGGTATCGAGTGGGTCGGCCTTAGCAGAATGAGCAATGTTATCTCATATATTCTTTGATAGTTCGTGTTATTGACCCGGGGAAAAAATTTCAAAATCTCGGGTTTAACATTGGAGATGAAGATCTCCACGAGAGTTAAGTATACCAAGTTGCTCTAATCAGTATGTCAATTGCTTTTTATTTCCTAGAAACATCATGATATATCTCAGTCAGTGCTAGAGCACTTTGGTTGCTAACTGGGCACAGATGCCCCAATACCCTCGAGGAGTAAGTTAGCTAAGTGTATGTTTTAATACAACAATTCTAAGATTACCTCTGATTTCATCAATGTGCATTCGTGCATAATCGGTAAGTAAGTTAGCTAAGTGAGCCAAGCCTCGACAGTAGTTTCCTTGCGTGGTATGTGAGCATGAGCTATGTATCATACTCAGTAGCATGCAATGTTGCTTAGTACCGTATATTTTGGATACCTTCGGTTATAGAAAACCAAGTTCGTTAAGCATCGTATGACTAGCGTCAGCTGTCATTGTTTAGCTCAATGATGATAAGTGTTAGCGTATGCAAAATATAGAATCTCAGAATCCTAAGTCGGAGTTTGACCTTGCGAGATCTCCGCTTAGTGATGTGTGCTCTCCGGGAAAGTCAAATGTCATTAGTTCCGCTCGACAAGTGGTCAATTTTTAGTTGTGAGTACCTTAAATGTTTGATCAGATGAGCATTGTGTATGTGAGTCATAAGATATATGAGAAATAGTTAGGCATTGTAGTTGAGTAGTGAACCAGAGTTCCACAGCAAAAGTATAGATATTAACGTTAATTGAGGATTACTGTCATATCTTCAGTAGTCGGTATTGAGACAGTGTTGGTAAGTACCGTAAGATATTAAGATATAACACGTTGAGTTGCTTATGTTCGACAAGTTAAAAAAGGTTATCGAGTTAGCCATCGAGTTAACTAAATTGAGTAAGATTTGTCAGAGAATGTCTTAAAGAATGCAATGAATGGACAAATTGTGTTATCCTTGTGGAATATTCTGAGCATGCTGAGTCGGATAGACATGATGTGATTTCTTAGCTTTGAACTTTCGAAGGTTTTCGCTTAAAGTTTAATGTTAACAATGCCCTCAGGAAATTGTAAATCAATTTTTGTGATTTTCAAGCTGTATGTCAGGGTGTAAGGATTTCTTCCGTCAAAATCAGTTTTGATATAAGTTAGGTACTTCAAGATTCTTAAGTGTTTGACTTAAAGATAAATCGTTGATTGGATTGAGTAAATTTCGAGGACAAAATTTCTTTTAAGGAGAGGAAAGTTATAACACCCCAAATTATGGGTTAGTAGTTTCGGGTTTACCTGAGAGGTAAGTGGACCATGTGAAATTATAAATTAAGTTGTTGGGCTTAATTGGGTTGACTTTGAGGCCCTATTAGTCATAAAAAGGGGATTTTTGAATATAAGATAAAATACAAACGACCAAAAGTGCAATTAGACCATTGAAGAATTTGGAAGTTGATTTTAGGGTTTTTATTGGTGTTTTAGACGTGGGTTCTCATCCTATCTCCTCTTCTTAGATTCTTCTTCTTCATTTCTCTTCTTCTTCTCTCCTCCAAGTCTCCATAGATTCAAGAGTTGGTAAGAATATCTTTCTCTACTCCTTTTGACTTCTAATATATTGCAAACTCATCCTATAACCCTTGGTATGCTAAAGATCTTGTCTTCCTTTTTGGTTTGAAGGAAAATGGTGG